ATGATAATCGAATAAAGATTCACCATCCCTGCTTGACGATTCAATAGCAACTTTACAAATCTCTCAACACAACTTAAACTATCACAACCATGCCTTATTATCTTGTGAAATGTCTCTTGTTGTATTACGTGACGCAACACTTTCCTCTGCCATTTCACAGCTCGACCTATTTCGAAAACCTAGACTCCACAATTGGCGATATATCTCGTATTAAGAGGATATAGTAAAATAAAATATAAATAAAAAGCCTTTTATTTCATGCATTGCACATAACATTTTCTTGTAGTAATAATAGGTTATAAATGGACTGTTACATTGTTTTTGTTACTATCTCATGAGTGAATAGTTATATATTTTTTGTCCGTTTTATTACAAAAAATTTTTTTTTTTATAAAAAAAAAAAAAAAAAAAAAAAAAATAAAAAAAAAAAAAAAAAAAAAAAAAAAAAAAAAAAAAAAAAAAAAAAAAAAAAAAAAAAAAAAATTAAATAAAACCCCCCCCCCCCCCCCCCCCCCCACCCCCATATTTTTAATATTTTAAAAAAAAAAAAAAAAATAGAAAAAAATATATTTAATATATTTATTATTTTTTTTTTTTCTTCCTAACCCCACCCCCCCCCTTTTTTCTATCGAGAAAATTTTACGGAATCGTGTTTTCGTCTAACATATCCTCAACTTTACCATATATTTATTTCAAAATTAATGCTGTAATATTTTCGGCATAACGGAGGATCTTGCTAAGCCATTTGAGGTTATATTTCCCCTTCATCATCATCATCATCATTACAGCCCTTCACAAGTCCACTGCTGAACATAGGCCTCCCCCAAGTAATGCCACAAAGCACGGTCCTGAGCCACCTGCATCCACCGACTTCCTGCATGTCTTACCAGGTCGTCACTCCATCTAGTGGGGGGTCGCCCTACACTACGCCTACCGGTACGAGGCTGCCACTCGAGAACCTTTCTTCCCCATCGGTTATCGATTCTTCGAGCTATATGGCCGGCCCATTGCCACTTCAGCTTACTAATCCGTTGGGTTATGTCGGTCACTCTGGTTTTACTGCGGATATCCTCATTTCTGAGTCTATCACACAGAGAAACTCCGAGCATAGCCCTCTCCATAGCTCGCTGAGCGACCTTGAGCGTCCTCATACAGCCAGCAGTGAAGGACCACGTCTCTGATCCGTAAGTCATCACTGGCAACACGCACTGGTTGTACACTTTAGTTTTCAGAGATTGAGGTATACCTGACGAGAACCTGCCGAACCTACCTGCCCAGCCGAGTTGAATCCGTCGATTGACCTCTCGGTCGAAGTTGGACTTACCTAGTCGGAATATTTGTCCCAGGTAAACGTACTCGTCAACCACTTCGAGCAACAACTACCGGCATAGGTGTGACATCGACATTGAACATGATCTTTGTTTTGTCCATGTTCATCTTAAGACCTATCCGTTGGGCGACACCATTGAGGTCATTGAGCATAGTGCTAAGGTCCTCCAGCGATTCTGCCATAAGGACTATATCGTCGGCAAATCGAAGGTGAGTGATGTACTCGCTATTGATGTTAATACCGTATCCTTTCCAGTCCAGTAGCTTGAAAACGTCTTCCAACGCAGCGGTGAAGAATTTCGGGGATATAACGTCACCCTGTCTTACACCTCTCTGCAGTTGGATAGGTTTCGAACTCTGGTTCTGTACTCGGATAGCCATCGTAGCCCTATTGTACAAACACTTCAGCACTTCAATATACCGACAGTCAACTTGGCACCGCTGAAAGGACTGTAGCACCGCCCAAATTTCGACGAAATCAAAGTCTTTCTCATAGTCCACATATGCTAGGCAAAGTGGCAGATTGTACTCTTCGGTCTTCTGTAAAATCTGCCGCAGGGTATGTATGTGGTCTATGGTACTGAAGCCTTTTCGGAAACCGGCTTGTTCGGGAGGCTGGAAGTCGTCGAGTCTGCGTGCGAGACGATTCGTAATGACTCTCGAAAACAGCACGTAGACTCGGCTCAGAAAGCAAATCCGTCTGTAGGTCTTCAAGAGAGCGTTGTCGCCTTTCTTAAAGAACAAGACCACCGCACTTCTGCTCCACGCCTCCGGAGTAGTGCCACCATGAAAGACGGAATTGAAGAGCTTCTGAAGGACATCAAGTACCGGTGTTCCACCCGCTTTCAGAAGCTCCGCTGTAATTCCATCCTCGACTCCTCGAGCCATTGTAATCTCGCTCAGACTGACGTCCGGGATATCATCGGAATAGTGTCGGGTAAGACTTGCTCTTGGATCGTTACTCACACTTGCGTGTGGCTTCAACGATGATGTGTACACCTGCCCATAGAACCTCTCAATCTCACTCAAAATCTCAGGTGTCCCGGAAACGATGCTGCCACACTCAGTCTTCAGCTTTGACAGTTGGCTCTTTCTGGCAGACAGATCTCTGGCAAAGACTTTGGAGCCCTGGTTCCGCTCGATCGCTTCTTTAATACGAGCAGTATTAAAGTTGCGTAAGTCTCGCCGCATGCATTTGGAGATCTGTCTGTTCAGTTGCCTGTATGCTGTCAAATCTGTTGACGATTGCGGCCTCATCTCCCGTCTAACAGCCATGAGATTAAGAGTGTGATCGGAGAGTTTTTGTGTTCTTCTGCGACGGGTCTTGCAGAACTTAGCTCCGACCGCATGGACAGTTTCCACGAGCTTGTCATTCATATCGTCCACTGCATTGCAATCTTCTAGGCACTGGAAGCGGTTACGTAACTCGAGCTGAAAAGTCTCGGGATTCTGGATTAGAGCACGAGGGGGACGGAGCGTTGACTTCATTAGACGAGACCTCTCCAACTTAACTTTTAGGTTCAGTGTGCCTCTAACCCCTTTATTTTCCCTTAAGTTGCATAATGTAACAACACTAACTACAGATGAAACTGAGTCCAATGTCAATCATAATTGCAATCCGAATTGAATCAACCTCGCGAATTGCTTAAATTTCTTCGCCGATGAGATTCGATTTAATTCGGCGCGCCTCAGTCCACAGAGTACTTTGTATATACTGAAAAGTAGCCGCGGAGAAGTGGATGCGTACCAACGTATTTTTATTAATTTCTATTTAGTTTTCATAAAAATATTTTTGTTTAAATAAACTTATCGATGATGTTTGTAATGAAATAAACAAATATTCATACGCCCCCAACCGAATAATAAAAGTGACAGTTATAAAAACGTCTGTTATGACTTACCGAGCTTATGCCGAGTCTAAACTTCGTTACGGGCTGGTGATATGGGGAAATAGTTCGGATTGGAATCGGGCGTTCCTTGCGCAGAAAAAGTTTATTAGAGCAATCTACGGAAAACGACCTGACGAATCATGTCAGCCTCTATTTAAATGTCTTGGAATACTGCCACTACCAGCATTATATATTTTTGAAATTTGTATTTTTGTTCAGAGACACAAACAATTATTTGAGAATGCTTGTGAGGTGCAGTCTACTCGCTCACGTAGGGACCCACACAAGTTAGTACTTAAGGGTATACCTAAGCTACAAAAATATTACCATGTGTGTCCGAATATACAACAAACTCCCTGACGAACTTAAAACCCTAAACATTACATTGTTCAAAAGGAAATTGTACAAATGGCTCAATGAAAATAATTTCTATAGCGTAAAAATATTCTTGGGTAGTAAAAATTAGATTATGTATCGGATAATATTAATTATATAAACTTTCATTTAAATATTATTGTTAAAGTATAGTTACAATATATCTTTAATTAAGTTATGCGAATTTTCACTAGGTATTGAAATTGACGATGCTCAGAATTTGAATTGAATCATTATAATATTTATAAAATATTTGCATGCTATGTAAAATAAGCAAAACATGAGCGCTCGTTCCTACATGTTAACAACATTTATACCATGTTTTACGCAAATAAAGATTATTATTATTATTATTAAAAAATAAATGAAGAACTTTCTGATAGAATAAACGAAACGATTGAAAAAATGTTATAGGATCCCTTTTCAAATCTGGATGTAAATGATGAATATGAACGAGTCTCGTTGCTAATGGACGCAGTTTCAGAGGAAATATATAGGCGACTTTCTGTGATCCGATTCGACTCGGCATTATAATACATTTTTAGGTGGTAGAGCCGTGCTGCAGCTATATCAATGGTTATAACAAGAATGGGTCACCAGGGAAGAACCACGCTCTCACAGAATACCAGCGTGAAATAACAGCTTAACGCTGTTGTGTTTCGTACGGTGAATATAGAGAACCGGAGACCCTTTTTACTGGAAACGTGGCATTCCATCTTCGTTCTCACGGGTGACAATGCATCTGCATTTTGATTAGTTATCGAGGATATGTGTAGATGTCTATGGGTCCCAGGGACCACTTACCATCAGGACCGCGTGCTCGTTTGCTACCCCCATACTATAAAAAAGGTGTGAGGAATTGCATCTCAGTCCTCAGTGGGGACAACGCATCTGAGGCCTTCTTTGTTGGAAGTTGGCTGCAGGTGCACCCGGGCTGCAGTAACCGCTTGGGACGAATGACTTTATGTTTACACGAGCACTACACATTTAAATGAAACTAGTTTTTACGGACTTTATCGCGTATATTAACTTATATATTTTGCCGACCTATCGAGTACTTTACAGCACTGAAATCTTCATATTTAAATTATTAGTTTCATTTAATTAATAAAATTAATAATTAAACTGTTAATTCATTTGTCACTTTAAATTTACCTTTAACAAAAACATGTGTGCATTTTAGGTACACGCGGATGAAATGAAACCCTCAGTAAAAGAGACCGACATGATAGAAAACACTGTATACTGTATTCTATCTCATTCTATCTCAGGCTAAATCCTATATGTTTGTCTCTTTTTAGTGTCCTCTTCCCTTTCATCGAGTTACAATCATTCTAAAGAAGTTTTCACTTCAATAAATAAGTATAGCAAAAATATTTGGCCTCAAGCTTTTGCTTTACGTTGCAGGTGCGATCACATGGCAGCTGCCATACGAGTCGGACTCCATCACTCACTTCGAGCTGGAACGCACGCTTTGCCCAGATGACACGGCGGAACTTGATCCCAACTCCGACTGTGGTGGTATGTTCACCATTCTTTAAATAAATTACCGCTAAATACTACGTCTATCCTCGTTCACTTGATAGGGAGAGCTCAAGTTCTTCTTATCTTACTTTTCGTGGTAGAGCCATGCTGCAGCTATATTATGGCTGTAGCATTAATGGATCTACCTGATTGGGGAAGAACCACGCTTTTAAAGATTAGCAGCTCAATGCTGCTGTGTATCGCATGGTGAGTGTAGAGAAGCGAAGATTCTTTTGAGCGGGCATTCTATTTTAGTACTCTGGGATGAAAACGCGTATGCATTTTGATTCCTAATCTTGGATAGATGTAGGTGTCTATGTGTCTCAGTATCACGTAGCGACGTGTAGCCCTCATGACAATTAAAAACCTGTAAGCCAAGCCATGCGAACTTTTGATCGTACAATACCTACCTTACGTCCGCCAAGCAGTGATCTAATTTGATCAGAATTATGTAAACGTGTGTACCTATGAAAAAACTATTTTTTCGTTTTAAAAAAAAACCAAAGACACTATGCAATAGATAATAGTATCAAAGACAAAGATATGCTCTTTTATTTTAAACCATAACCTGGCAATGTTTCTTAGAAAAAAAAAAAGAAATCACTCTGAACTTTCGGCGTTCCACGTGTCGTTTTGATGAAGGTGCTCCGTCTTTTTTATAGAATTTTATATTTGTGTCTTGACTAAAAACGAAAGTATTATACTTTTTTTATATTCCTTGTAATATAGTGAACAAAATATATATATATAAAAAAATATATATATATATATATATATATATATATATAATTTGTGGTATAAAAAGTGAAAAGTAAATTGCCAAAAGTGCTTCAAAATCTGGAAGGCCCATTATGGCGGCTGGGTCATAAATGTGTTATTTTTCAAATTCTCATTTATTTTTAGTGTAAAATGTAAGTAAAAATAGTTTTCTTACATATTTCAAATAACTTGACGTTGTATTTATTTCAAATTCACACAAAACTATTTTAGAAATATTGTTCTAAATGTCACACAGATAAAATATTATTATTTATTTTTTAATTTTTTAATATTTTAATATTTTAGTATGAGTAACGAATGGAAACACATAAAACATAAAAATATACATATTTCCAAACATTTTCATATAAATTTCTCTAAAAACAAAAGTGTAGAATTCAAATTAGTAGTAATTTTGTCACTAAAATTGAAGTATATACCACTACTATGCTATACAGGGTAATTTACGTATTTTATTACAATTTCTAGCAACCAAAAATAATTTTATTCGATAGTTTATACATTCAACAAGAATTCCTGCAAGTTTTATCCATAAATATTGTCTCAAAGTGAAAATATAGCAAAATTTGCAATATAGCAAAAAATTTGCTAATTTTCAAATTTTCCCGCCATTACGGTCCCGAGCGAACTGGAGTATAACATGTCGCGCGCTCGCTTGGCGAACAGGTGTGTAGAATAGTAGTAGTATAATTAAAGTCAAGTCTCAAAACTGACGTTCGCGGTTTACAAAACAAAGGACTAGTGTTGTCGGCCGCTTACAGTCGAAAAAAGACTAAAGTGACGGAGAATTTAGTGCAACCTAGTGTGCGATGTATTATGTATACATGTTGGCCGAGCGAAGACTAGTGCCAACGTTTAGACACGCCATTTGTCCAGCCTTGCACGACCAGCGTTGCTTGGCGTGCCTTGCCACCACTCATCGCTCGCCACGACTCGTCTCACTTCGGAACAGTATCAGTTTTTCTGCAAAAATCAAGAGCGCTCGCCTGCACTCTGCAAGTTGTATCCACATGTTAGTCGGCGTGGCAGTATGTTCATTCATCTAAATTCTAAACTTGGCCAACACTGTAGACTGTAACACTCACCTTGTATCAATTTGCCTACGCTCGCGTTGGTTGAGGCTTGGTCAATGTAAAGCCGGCATGCTTTTTATAATTTCGGATAGCTCGTCTAGCTACGCTAGTTTATGCTACGGGCACATTGTAGCGCAAAGTTGTGTTACGTTGTCGCAATAAGACTTCGTGTCCGATCTACAACGAACTGTATTGGTTAAAAAACTTCGCAGTTTAAAAATGTCGCGATAATTCAGCTAGACACGGGATATTGGAAAGCGCAGTTGTGCTGTATCAAATGAAGGCAAATAATCATTATTGCATCTTTATTATTTAAAGAAAAGAAAATAAAAGGGTAAAGAAGAGAAATAAAAGACAATGGCAAATGCAAAGTTTTTTTACGTTACTCCGTATTACGTTACTCGGTATTTTACCTACGACAAAATTAGAATATTGCAAGACAAAAACGTGCACATCGTTCGTCGTCTCTGAAAACCAAAAAGCTTCGAAGTGTAGCAAATCACACGGACCTTGTTGCGATGAAACTCTTTGATGTGTGTCATTCGAATTCGTCCCGAATTATTCGCGACATGACGAATTGCTTGTCCAGACGTATTGCAATAACGCAAATCTTCGCCTCATGGCGACAATGTGGCCTCAGCATTAGTGTGAATGGGTCACGGCATCCACTTACTACCTGGCGAACTGTGTGGTTTTGTCACCCTCATGTATAAGAAAGGACAATAGCAAGTTGTTGTGGGGTGTGCAGCGAGACCTGGTGGGTCAGCGGGTCGTGGTGCGTTCTCACTGCATGTAACATCATCGTGCGGAGCGCTGCTGCTGCACTTGGAGGCACGCTGGCCTCAACACTGGCGCCTGCCCTTCCTCACACCGGTCCACCTCGCCGCCACCCAGGTACACATCATGCGAGTCATTTATCTTCATCAATCACCATAAGAACGTTTTGCAAGTCTCACAAGAACATATACCTCCTCTAAGGAATATCACAAAGCTTGCTCCTGAGCAACCTGTGCTTAATACGTGGTAGAATCATGCAGCAGCTATATTGTGTTTGTGGCGGGAATGGGCCGCCTCGACTGGGAAACGACCACGTTCTCGCAGAATGCCAGCGAGAGACAGCAGCTTAATGCTTTCGTATCGTGAATGTAGAGAACCGGCGACCCTTTTTACTGGAAACGAGAGGTTGCATCTTATTCCTCAAAGGTAACGCATTCTGTATTTTGGTGGTCTGTGTACTCTTTTTTTTTAGTTTGTCACCCTTACCTTATTCTATTAAATGACTTCCTAGATCTCTTACCACATCATACGAAGTTGCCTCGAAAACTTTTCTTCTCCATCGGTTCTTCGAGCGATACGTCCGACGGAGTGCCACCTCAGCGTATTGATCCGTTTCTATGTTAGTTACTCTGGTTTCACTGCCTCGTTTGTCTATTAGTTGTGAAAGTGGTTGCTGATCACAGGTCCCAGGTTCGAATCCCAGAAGAAGAATGTTACCACAATAGCCACGCTTGGCAACCGCAGTCTCTTATGATTTTAAGTTGTTGTTAGGAAGATGCTGCTCTCCCATCTCCTGTTTCAGTTTTCCACTGTCGACTCTTACGACATAGGACGATGTGTATCTTCAGCAGTGAAACACATAGTAGCAGTTCAACCTGTTCCTTATCATCCTCTCAAGATACTGTTGGGGCTGGCCCGCATTCCATCCGAGACGCACACCTCTTACTTATAACTTATGTAAGCTCTCCACAGACTGTACTTGTAGACCGAAGTGCAATAAATTACTATCGCAATACCACAAGTACAAGTTGTGCCACGTTGTGTGGTAAAGGTATAAGGGACTCGTCGACGGCTTCCCATGAGTGTCGTGAAGGGTGACAATTGGATATGCCAGAAAGGTTTTATGGCTTTCGATAGATGGCGGTATAGTCATCTCGTTTTCGTAAAGCAAAAAATATTCAGACCGATGAAGGGTGTAGCGTATATGCTCAACGCCTGGTGACGATTAAGATAAATCCTTCTTACAACAATGCCCCGACAGTAGTGAATGTTACGGACAGATGGAGAAGAGGAACAAAGAGACATCCAAGCCCCTCTAGCTCGGAGACCGTTACACAATCGACGCAGCTGGTAGCAAACAGCGGTAAGGCATAAGCTACACATTTTAAACTCATCACACCCCCACATCCCATGAGTATCGCAAGCGACAACCAAAGCAAAGTATGGATCCCTTGCTTTCTTGAACTTTGAAATCGTCTTACCATCTCTGACTTCTAAGACAAAAATCATTCATCATTTTTTAATACAGCCTATGAGAAGGTATTACTGAACGTTATTACTAAGTATACATATATTTTACAACAAATGAGATACCGAGCAAGATGCCTATTTTATTAAAAATATTTGAATTTTAAAATATAATTCATATAATTAGTTGATTTGGTTTAATTCACGATATTCAGATATCGCCGCGCGTGTTTCACTATCAGTTCGAGGAAGGACAGCAAAGCGTGCGTCTCGTAGTAGAATCCGATGATGACATATGCGCCTCCATTTCAATACAGAATTACTCGGTGAGTGATAAATGGCAATTTCAGTATGGGTGACAGCTCGCTGCAGCTAAAGTCATGAAAATGATTCGTAAAGTCTTAACTCGTAACGTTTCAGTGCCCGATCGCACAGACGCCGACCGAGATAAGCAATACGGGGCTTCGGATGACAGTACTGCGATCCGGTGCCGTACATTTATCGGTAAGAAAATTGATGCCTTTTTTTTGTTTTACCTATATGATCTTATAACTATATTTATCCTTCGAGCTAGGTTGCAAGCCCGTGTTTATACTAGAAATTTTAGTATCATTATACTAAAATTTCTCGTATAAAACATATTTGATGGTATTCTATGGTTATATTTACAACGTTCACAGTATGTACACTGCGAGTATGGTATCATATCTGTTTGTAATTTCATTTCTCGTCTAATAGCCATGTAATATTTTCAGTGGGGTCAGAGAATTTTTGGGGTCTTATGCAAAGGATCATAACAATGTCTCCAACTGATAGGTCTAAGATTTGCGTCAGATATAGCTTCAAAGTTGAAGTTCTTCGCTCTCGTAAACAGTCAACGAATGTTGCTTATTTTCAGAAGCTTTGTCAACCGTAAGAACTAATATGAAATGTCTCACAACCTGTGGTACTGACTTACTCTAACTTGAACTTGAGAAGTTGATTCACAGTTGGCAGAAAAAGGTAAGAACGTGAGCCATTCAGATGGTCGCCTATACAGAGAAAACCCTCATTACCTGGTAAAATTTATCATCCTAATATTTTCAATTTATATAGGAAAACTTATAACAGCCATTTTCTCTACCATTATATGGCTGGTATCCGTAACTTCTACAAGTCTTACCGCGTATTTTGCATGTGGGTGGGAATTATACTATTCAAACTATCGGAACTGTCCGAGAAATCTTAGCAAGTTCTTTATGTTACCCATAATGAATGACAATGCTTCTGCAATGCGGTGTACTTAGCTTAGCTGTAAACCGCTGGACAATCAAGTAGAACGTTGGCTTGTAGGCTCTGCACGAAAGTTTGAACACCGAAAGAAAAGAGATGCTAATGAAAGAAATAGTATCCTGCTATGGCACATTTGACTAATTTGAGGAACAATCCTCAACTTATATGAACAATCCCAAAAAGATACGAGTGTGACTTAGTGCGTAATACCAAAGCAATATCTTAGTACCGCAGTGTCCGTCTAGTAGCCTATATAAAAGTCTTTTTTTCGCGCTGCCGTACGCTCCCCGAATTCGGCGGTTTTTCGTGTGGAAGTTAAATACTGGGTAGCACGAGTATGGTGCTGCTACAGAAGAATTTTGGGAAGTTGTTATGGTAGTATCACAGCAGTGGCAAGAGCATAAGCATGAAATTTTTACGTAGTATTAATTTTTAAGTATATAGATACATGCTACAGCTATATTATGATTGTAGCACGATTGGCGCGACTGGGGAAGAAACACGCTGCTCAGAACACCAGCGTAAATAGCAGCTCAATGCTGAAGTGTTTAGTATTGTGTGTAGAGAACTGAACACTCGTCTTACTGGAAATAATGCATGCCATAGAACTCAACGGTGAAAATACATCTGAATTTTTATTCTTAACTGAGTATACATGTAGATGTGTATGGATCACAGTATCCACTTACCATCAGGTGGACTGCGTGTTCATTTGTCACCCTTAATCCATAAAAAAATATTTAAACGTGGTACGTGGTGTGGTGTACAGCGGAGGCGCTACCCGCGTGGGTTCCTAGTGGTTGCAGTGGTGCTGGCGAGACAAGAAGCATGTGGTGAGGTGGGGACTGACGACTCCGCCTGGCTGTGGGCCGCCGCAGTGCTGGGTGAACAGCCAGCTCACCAGGTGTCACAACCGCGCACCAAGTTACTCACCTTCACAGTAGAGGTATGCATCTATATTAACCACGTTATGCAGAAAATGATCCAACTAACAAAAACAAAGGTGTTCAGAGTTGAAAGAGAAATTTTTCTCACAAATACATCATAATAATTTATATTTGTATTAAAAAAAAACCAGAAAAATGTATTGTATGAAATTTAAGAACTTTTAGTACGTTTATAAGTTGTAATGTCTAACGCTTGATATTTAAAGTGCTTACAAAAATTTCCTACACTTCTTTATTTTACTGCGGCTGCGATGCCAGAGTCTGGATATTATGCAGCAGGCGATTGCTCCAAATTGACCTAATGAAGTCCTCAGGAACTGAGGGACCGGCCAAATCCTGAAGGTGTCTCAAGAATTGTGAAGGCTTCCTGTCACCAAGCTCTTCATGGGTCAGCAACTGCTTCACCTTCTTTTCGTGGGAAGCTGAAAGACGTTTGATCAGCTTTCACTTGATTTTGGCTTAGCCGTTATGAGCTAGAGGATTGACAATAATATCCTTTACGGCTTTTGCACGGAATCTTCACTGACGTCATGCCTAGCAAACAGACCTTATTAAAAAGCGCGAACCGAAATACTGGGGCCTCAGGTGAAAATGGAGGAACTTTTATTTTTAATTTAGGAACATATTTATTTTTACGTTCAGTGGAAACGCGAGCTTAGTGTGTCCGCCGTATAGTGAGCATCGTGGCGCGATCCAACCGTTTTCGGAGAATTACTGCTCTTAATCACTCATCTTAATTTTCGTGTCCTCGTCGGGGTCACCAGTAAGAAAGTGTGTATAATAAAATGTGAAGAATGGGATACAATCTGGTAAAAGTTAATTTAGTTCAAACCTACTCAGTAAAGTTAACGTTTAAGCACAATAGTACAGACATAGTATATATATATATATATATATATATATATATATATATATATATATATATATAGTTCCACACGACACAACATAAAAGTTAATAGCTATATGAAATTGAAGGAGTGGAAACCGATAGTATGAAGCAAATTATATAAAGTAAGTATTCGCGAGATGAAAAATCAACACTACGGTAAGCCAGGTAAGCAGGCTGGTATAGTAGTATGTGAGACGGGCAAAGTGGCAAACGCGGTGCGCAGCGTTGATTGGGTTCGCGCAGGGAACTTCATTGTAATGGTATAGTTGCTTAGCACAACTTGCAATGGCGGCTGTACACGCTCGTCTCGTCACCTGGCGTGTCTCTCGTCGTGTAGAGGCTCGACACGAGAACACACCATGTACACGCTCGTTATATCATTTGAACTCCGTGCGCCTGCTGAGATGGACCGAGCTGAAACTGTTGCTGCGTTTTGCCTTTGTGCTGTTAGTTATTACAATTTTATACATATTTACTATAAAAAGAAAATTAATAAGCCATGGCGAAAAAAGAAGATGGTGGATGGTTTCTATTTACCGTAACAAAACTATATACTGGTATTAGAATATAGTACGCTCCCGGTTTTCATCGCGAGACTCACGAGACCCTTTGACTCGAGCGCAAAAAACTGACAGGTTTCCGAGAGCGCACGAGGGCCACGAGACGCGCCGCGACGCGACGAGAGCACTATGTACAAATGTACAATATACACACGAGCACGAGCTCGGCCTGTCTCGTGGTATCTCGACGAGCGTGTACAGCCACAAAACATGACGAATGAAAATAATCTTTTATTAAATGGATTGTGATTGTTTTGTAACTATGTAATTTATGTTATTTGATGTTTGTAAATAATGTGATATAATTAAAGACTTAAGATGATACCTTGAAAATAAGTCGTAATTTTGGGGGCGTGGCTTATTCCTTTGTCGGTGAAGCTCACGGACGGCTGAGGGAGTGTCAAAATTAAAGTGATGCAATGACTTCATAATAACCAAATTATGAGATAGCTATACCGAGCACACGTTGGGGAAAAAAAACTAAGTAAGCCCCAAACAACGTTTTCATTTTTTTAACAAAACTACTCAATGGATTAAAAAAGTGATTTATGAGAACTTAGATCTGATTATTTACGATTGTTCATGCCTTAAAAATAATTCCATGAACTTATTCGTAAAAATATTGTGGTGTCGTGGAAAATTGTAGCTAATTAGAGCTTACTTTGCAATTTTTTTCTATCGAGAATATTTCATGATATCGTGTTTTCCTTTGCAATTCAAGGCCATATAGTTAAAAATCATATAACAAAATTTTGGTTTGTAATCTATAAAACTTAAAGAAATATGTGCAATAGAAAAACTACCAAATTTTCCAGGTATCATCCCCTTAAGTTTATATCGGTGTAATATAATTTTGTAAATATAAGTATATTACATTTATTGTCTTTTTATTGGCATTTTCTCAAATTAGTATTGCTACGAGCTTGGAGTTCGTGACAATAAAAACTGCCGATTGAATTACCAAAATTAATGAATGAATTGTGCTCGTTTATCAACTTTCTTATATAAAAAAGGATTGGTGTGAATGTGAGGCAGGCATCGCTGAGCCGCACGCAGTACGCGGTGGCGATCGGCAGCACGACGGCGCTGTTCTTGGCGTTCTATGTGGCGTTCGGGGTGCTCGTGCTGGCGCAACGCTGGCCGCCCTTCCTTAACCTCGTGCGACCCGCCGCCGTGCTCGTCGACACCTCGGGTACGCCACCACCCACTTTGCGAACTTAAACTTTACTTTACACCAACAGAGCAACAAACAGAATGCGCTGCCAGACCGTGCTCAACTTATTGTAAACGCTCTAACGTACATATATTACTAGGTAGAGTCACGTTGCTATGATTACAACACGAATTGGTCCGCTCGACCGTAAAAAGACGACTCTCCCACGGAACCAGCGTAAAATAGCAGCCTTTATGCTGCTTATTGCGGCATTAATGCTGCTGTGTTTCGTATGATGAGTATTAAGAACCGGAGACCCTATTTACTGTAAACCATTTTAGTTTTAAGAGGTTACAATGAATTTTGCATTTTTATTTTTATTGAATAAAACTATTATTTACGGATTTTATCGCGTTTAATTACTTTAATTTATTTTTATTATTATCCCGACGTTTCGGTTGCTTTACAGCACCCATGGTCACTGGGGGGGGGGGGGACTGAGATGTTGGGTTTGGGTTTAATTTTGTTAATTATAGGATCCCAAGCAGGTGGTAGCACCCAACCATCCTCTCTATTGAAATTTGGATGTTTTTTTAATTTCAATAGCCTCGCGTATCATCCTTGGTAGGAATCGGTGTTCTTTTGCGAGAATTTGTGGTTTATCAAATCTAATGTAATGGTGGGGACGATCTTGAACATGTTCGCAGACTGCAGACTTCCCCGAGCGTCGGTGCTTCACATCAGCTATATGTTCCTTCACGCGGGTTTTTATAGATCTCTTTGTTTGACCTATGTAAGAGAGACCACATTCACAATCTAGCTTGTACACACCTGCATCTTGTAGAGGAATATTACATTTGATGGATGGTAAAAATTGACTAATCTTCTTCAGCGGCTTGTAGTATGTCTTAATGGACGCTCGCTTCAAGATGTAGCCAATCTTGTCCGTGACTCCTCTGACATATGGTAGTACAGCAGGCGCGCGCTCGACTGTAGCCGGCTTCACTCGTTCACTGTGACGTAGGCGCGGGACCCGAAGCTTGTTGTCTTGCAATACTTGTTGACGTGCTGAAGCTCGGCGGCCATATGTTTTCTGTCACAGATCCCTCGTGCTCTCTGAAACAAAGATTTACCCACGGTAGCTAACTGTGAAGGATGATGGTGAGATTCACCATTTAGATATCGGTTGGTATGGGTCTTTTTCCTATACACAGTGTGACCAATAGTGTTATCAGGATTTCGGATGACTAAAACATCTAGGAAGGCTAAAGAATTATTTGTCTCTAACTCCATTGTGAATTGTATTTTAGAGTTTATGGAGTTAAGGTGGTCTAAAAATGCATTTACTTTGTCAGATGGTAAAATTGTGAAGTGTCGTCTACGTACCGCTTGTAGAACCTTGGATTTACAGGAGCAGTAAGAAGGGCTTTCTCCTTAAAGTCCTCCATGAATATGTCGGCGACTATGGGAGACACAGGTGAGCCCATCGCCACACCATCTACTTGCTTGTAGAACTTCTCCTTCCACAATAAATATAATTCCAGATGTGAGGCAATGTTCAAGTAGTATTGCATATTCTTGAGGCATTTTATTTTCTTCTAGCTTCCTAGTTACAATTGAGATGCAGTCCACAATAGGTAGGCATGTAAATAGTGACTGAACATCAAAACTGTACATAGTTTCATTGTCAGCGTGATGTAGGTCTTTTATCTCACTAACAAAATGGTATGAATCCTTTGTGTGTGCTCTGGTATGTCCTCTCAGGTGACAGTACTTTTGCCAAGTGTTGTGCCAGCTTATAAGTTGGTGAATCGATCTGGCTCACTATGGGATGTAGTGGAGCGTTTGGTTTGTGTATCTTCGGTAACCCGTAAAACCTAACCGATAACCGATAAATTATTAAAAAAACTGAAGGTAGCCGGACTAACTATGACATTGGGACGTCAAACATCTCAGTCCCCCCCCCCGTGACCATGGGTGCTGTAAAGCACCCGAAAAGTCGGCATAATAATAAAAATAAATTAAAATAATTAAACGCGATAAAATCTGTAAATAATAGTTTTATTCAATGTGTAGTGTTCGCGTAAATTTAAGAAATCATGAAATCATTTTTATTTTTAATTGAGGATGTATGTAGATGTCTATAGTCTACGTGTTATAACATCCACTTACCATCAGGTGGACTGTGTGCTCAGTTGTCACCGTTATTCTATAAAAAATCATCTTGCAACTTGGTTTAAGTGCATGTTTTACCAGCAATGAATTACTACGAGCTGATGTCCGATACAATAAAAGATGTGTAAGTGAGTACATGTCAAGATATTGAGCATGGTTTTGGCATCATCAGAAACGTAACCAGCGCTACGTCTATCTTTGTTGTTCTGAAAACTGCACTTTAAACATACTGTACCAACTATGCGCACCTAAGAATAGGTTAGTCAAACTAAAATTTCGTTTCGTATTGCGTACGAACTTTAAGTGCGTTGTGTATTGTGCAAAAAAACATTTATTTTATCTTTTTATGAGGTACAATAATGGTATCATGAAAAAAATTAAGTTGCCGATAGACACGTATTATACGTAATAGTGTACGTGTAACAGTTGTAGCACGAGTGGGTCGGATCAAACGGGATAGAAAGAATAGCAGCGTAAGACAATAGCTAAAGACTGTTTTGTTTCGTATGGTGAGTATAGAGAAATGGAGCCCTTTGTTACTGGAAGCGAGGCATTCTTCCTCGTCTATTCTTTCATCTCAGTCCTCAGGGGCGACGACGACGCAGCGGTGTTTTGATTCCTAATCGATGATAAATGTAGATGTCTATGAGTCACAGCTTTCACTTACGATCAAATGGATTGTGTACTCGTTTGTCAAAGTTGACAGTCTCATTCTATAAAAAAGACCGTCAACTTTCATATACAGCGCATACAGTACCGTAGACCGTGTATGTAGCAGTATATAAACTTATCACTTTATATACTGACAGTATATATACTATGTCACAGCTGTGGATCACGAGCGCGTGCTGGCACGCACTTTTATTTTCATTTACAACAGTACTGTTGTAGGGGAAAACGAAATAAAGTTGCATATTTATCTGAAATAAATTCAAATCACATTGACAGTGTACACATTGCTGATGACAACGTTTTCTTGCTCACATTAAACAAAATCAGTGTCACATTGTCGAAAATACCGCTCGCGGTTCACAAAGCCAAGAACTAGTCTGCTCGCCTGCTCACAGTCGATAACACAGCCCGTATAGTAGGTGGTAGTACACTTAGCAGAAGTCTTTGCAATTGTAGGAACTGTACGGTCCAACCGTACATTTCTGCTGGCGTTAACATTTTACGTAAAGCAATCGCTATAGTTCGACAATTATAAAAATTGACTTAGTTCACGTAATCACCGTAACCGCGACGGACGCGAACTCATTAACATAACTTTAACATTTAATTTTTTTAACGTATTTTAATTTTATATTTTTTACTTCTCTATTAAATCATTTTTATATAAAATTTTAATTATTACTAAACATACGTCCATTACCCGAACATTTTTTTGTCCTTCGAGCGAAAAATATTTCAAATGCTTTAATTCCTTCCCAATAGGGATCTAAGTTGTAATAGACAATTAGTGTCCATTTATCCTGGATTATCTGCATTTTACCCATTGGATCGAAGTAAATAGACTGGTTATTGTTAAAAATTGTAATATTGTAAGAGCTTATACTAAATGCAGGTGTAATACATACTAATATATATAAAAAAAAATATAATATAAATGCGAAAGTGTGTTTGTTTGTTTGTCCTTCTTTCACGTCGCAACAGAGCGTCTGCATGCCAAGAATTTTTGTATGGGGATAGTTCGGTGGCTATAGAGTGACATAGGCTACTTTTTTCTGCGGAAAAACATCTCATTCCCGTGGGAAAATCGAATATGTTGCACAAGTTTGTCCTTCTTTCACGTCGCAACAGAGTGTCGGCATGGCATGATTTTTTGTATGGGGATAGTTCGGTGGCTGTAGAGTGACATAGGCTACTTTTTTCAGCGGAAAAACATATCATTCCCGTGGAAAAATCAAATATGTTGCAAAATTAAATTCAGCTAGGTGGCGCCATCGTGATTCTACAAGACGGACGATGGTACGATGGACGAACACAGAAGGTCAGAATATCTGGATTATTATGTCTTTTTACCAAAATTAAGATAAAAAAATATATGGTATATGTATGTATATATATTCCACGCAGGACCGGGAAGAGAGCAATAAAAAACATAAAATTCACCAGCTGATTTTTTTTCAAACGTTTTGGTGCATTGTAATTCACAGAATAGGCGATAACCTCGCAGACGATATTAAGTAATCCGTTGATGCTCTGCCTACCCCGCAAGGGTTACAGGCGTAATTATAAGTATGGATCAGAAATACTATCACCACCTGTCACGCTTTCACCCTTAACTATTACTTAACTGTGGTAGAAACAGTTCTTAGTAAGCCTTATTAATAAGCCTTAGTAATATTAATTGAACGGAAATGAATACAGTTCTTATATGTGGTTATGAATGAATCGGTATTACAATAAGAAAAATTGTGCAAAATTATAAGAAAAATATTTTTTGAGAGTTATTATTAACTAACGTATACATAGTTTAAATTGATTCCGCTAGATGTCGTTACTAGGTTTTTAAAACGCGGTAACGAAATATTTCCTGACATGTACTTAACTCCCGCCGTTGAGCCGCGCGTCAACTTATAGTGCATACGGTACCTATACGCTTAAATTGTTTCTATTTCTTAGCTTATTCGACTAATTGCTTTCGATTTCGGTTGTTTGTTATTTGCTTTGTTATTTGGTTAAGGTTGATAGGATTTATATTGCCTTTCATTTTCGGATTTGTGTATTTTCTTGGATCGGTTTTGTTGATTTGGTTGGTATTCCTTTATACATATTTAGACTCTGGCTTTGATTTTGGATTTTGTTTATTTAGAATCGTAAATTGGTTTTCGTTGTTTTAGGTTGTTTAACAATATTTCAAA